AAAATCCCGCACTTGCTCCAGCTCCAGATCCGCCACCCAAACAGATGGCTTTTTCAGGGGCCACACTTCTTCTTCTTCTTCTTCTTCTTGTTTTATGGCGGGTGGCATCCAACGTTAAGGTGCATTACCGCCACCTACTATACTGGAGTGTGGACCAGAGTGACTAACAGAACTTTATATATAAAAATAATAATTTTTATTAAAAAAAAAATACTAAACAAAATAAACCCCATTATTCACACTTCTTCTTCTTTGACGTTTTATGGCGGTTGGCAAACCAGCTTTAGGTGCATTTACCGCCACCTACTAGGATGGAGTGTGGAGCATTGACGTTAAAGGAAAACTAAAATGTAAAAAATAAAAAAATAAATAAAAATTAGTAGTGATTCTTTAAATCCTGTTTATTAACTCTGTATCTTTGAGATACTTAAATAATATGTGAAACATTTCTATAGTCACATCTTTATTTAACAATTTCTGAAGTGAGATCTGATTTATTTCTATATGAAGTGCTTCTGTAAGTTGTACTCTTTCGTTGTCATATCCTTTACATTTTATTAAAATATGTTCAACTGTTTCAGGAAGATCACATTTAACAAAAAGTCCAGACTCATGTTTTCCTATTATATTGTTTTCACACTGCGTGACTATCTGGGGTAGCATTCAGTTGCTGCTGTGTTCACATTGCATCTGGATTGGGGACAGGGGGTTTCACACTGCATGACATAGCCCGTATGCTGATTTCCAGCTACAAGGAGAAAAAGAAAAACAGATTATGCAGGAGGGAGATGCAGGGAACAGGGATTGAGTGTTCTGCAAAGAGAGTTGGAGATAAATAATTTCGCAGTAACTGTTATGCTGATGTTGTGGCTGGTCAAGCAAATGTTTGTGCTTGTTTCTGTATGATATAATTGTTCATATATCTATTAAAATACTGATATTCTGGTCTATAACTCCTCCCCGAACTTCCCTCTGCCCTGTATCTTGGTCTCTCATTGGCTGTAGGTCATCGCCGATGTAGTTTTCAGTCAGAACTCATTGCACACAGCGTGCTTGTGAATCACCGACAGCTCCAGATATTTAGCATGCTAAATATTTCACGAGCGTCGGCAACGTGTCAGCGATTCCCTCAGATCGCGTCTTTGATAATTCACACTGTGTGATTGTCACTCGCGTGAACGAGCACCGATTTGCCTTCGATGTCAGACATTTGTCGGCGATTTCGCAAAACCTGTCGGCGAGTGAAAAATCGGGCTAAAATCGTGCAGTGTGAACTCGGCATTAGAGGCGCGCAACTGCAGTGTGGCCCTTGGTGTGGCCCATCAGGCTGTGATTGGAGGAAAGCAAGTCTCATTGAATAACAAAAATATAATGATGCATGTATAATGCCGAGTTCACACTGCACGACTTTCAAAGACGTCGCATCACTGGTGGTTTCACACTGAATGACTATCTGGGGTAGCATTCAGTTGTTGCTGTGTTCACACTGCACGATGGAACGACGACAGGAGGTTACACACTATCTGTTTTAACACTCCTACTCCTATCAGTAATATCCCTATTTGGTTGTTTCCAAAAATTGAGGTAGATTTAAATATAATGGAACTAAAGGATAAATGGGAAGAGAGTGAGAAAGGACACATGGCAAGTCAATACATAAAAAGCAAATTTTACAGTTATTTAGATATTTATACAGATGGGTCCAAAGATGAAGAAAATAGGGTAGGCATAGGAATATACACACCAACATTGAATGTAAGTATTGGGAAAAGATGACCTGATCAGTTGTCAGTTTATACGGCAGAGATGATGGCGATTATTGTAGGGTTGCAGTGGGTGGAGGAAGTAAAACCTGATAGAGTGGTATGTTGTGTTGACTCTGTAGCAGCCCTTTACAGTATTCAAAACATGAAATCTAATAGAGAAGATTTAATGCTAGAAATCCATCAAAATTTATTTAGATTGCGGAGGCTTCAGATAGATGTGAGATTCTGCTGGGTACCTGCTCATGTAAATATAAAAGGGAATGAGAAAGCAGACAAAATAGCAAAGAAATCAACCAGGGCGAGCGATATTATAAATATTCCCTTTGGTAAAGGAGAAGCTAAGGCAATAATAAAAAAAGAAATGATGAAGAAATGGCAGGACAGATGGGACATGGATAATAGTGGAAGGAAATATTATAGTATACAGAAATTTATCAACGCACAGGGTGTGAATGGAAGGAATAGAAGGGAGGAGTCAGTTCTAACCAGGCTGAGGTTTGACCACACAGGGTTAAATAAAACATTGTTTTTGTTAGGTAAAAGTAAATCAGATGAATGTATGGAATGTAAAATCACAGAAAATGCAGAACATATGTTGTTACATTGTAGGAAGTATAGGGAAGAGAGGATTAGATTAAACCAAAAGAGAAGTCAGACGGGAAGAAAATGGAACCTTGAGGGTGTTTTGGGAACAACAGGAGAAGGGGTTAAAGATGCACAGGATGCTGTTGTGGAATATCTGAAGGATACAGGGGTATATTATAGGATTTAGATAGTAGTGCTATAATATTTATTTATTATTATTATTATTTTTTTAAATTATTATATTTTTGTTTTGATAAAGTGCATTCATTGAGATATAATCCATGCTGCATACTCCGATACAGTAGGTGGCGGTATGCACCTGATAAGTCATGGTTGCAATCCACCATAAAACTAACAAGAAGAAGAACTGTCCCTGTACCTGACTGAGCACACTACAGATTTAATTTGAAATCTACATTAATTATATATTAGAGCTTTTACACAAAAGAAATAAATTCAGCCATATTAAAGTGTTAATTTTATATTTTGATGTTATAGTATTTTATGTCACAGTATACAATTTCAACACAAATAATAAAAATAAAAAAATTCAATAAAACTGCCCAAAGCAAAAGTCTGGTTAATGCAGTTGATTAAGATGAGAAAGGAATTAGGAAGAGCATTTTTAAACAGTTACTCACTGTACATTCATATCTCTTGTATCTACGTACAAATTTATTACATTGCAAGACATTGGAGTCTCATAATAACACTGGGAGGATGGTGACTTTTTTCTTTACATCTGAATTATTTGAATTTGCAAGAATAAATGGAGATTACAAATCCCTTGTAATAGTTTTCTGAAGCTGCAATACATCCATTGTACAACCATGCCAATATAACAAAAATGAACAATTCTGTAAAAGCATTCCTTTCCTGACATGCACTTATTTTAAAGTAATACTGGGAAGTCAAAGCCACTGGAGAATACAGTACTGAAAGCATCCCAACAGATACTATTGCTTTGGACGGCATGGCAACATAGATGTTTTCACAGAATGAATACTATTGTAAATATGCAAGTATCAGTCAAATACAGGACATTATATTTGCAATGTAGTACTACCCACTCTTGCCAGCATTGCACCCAGGACATCTTTGGCCTTGACATGGTTCAAGTTCTCACATATAGAATACATACAAAGTAGTGTATGAATCATTTTACATGACAAAATATACACATACTGTGGTAATATGTAAATGCCAAATAGAATAAAAGCCCTTCATACCCAATGGAGGGATTTGTTAAAGTAAACCATTGTTTCTTCTGATTCAGTCAACAGTCAGTTCATTGAATGCTATCGCTATGCATTAATTAGTGAAAGGTACATAGAAATAATTAAAAGTAAACTGGGCCCATATATGTTAAACACCTCTGAGCAGTCAGCTGATCTAGGATCAGGTCATATTCACATTAAGAAGGCAAATAAAAAAATCCCATGTCAACATTGCTAGACTCATGAACAGCACCCCTGTGTCATTAGCTGCTCAAAACGCTCTTATGATTAATTGTTTGTTTGTATCAGTTGCTTTGGTTACAAATGTCTGCTAAATGAATAAAAACAAATGTCTTACTGAAATGTATAGATTTTAGTTCAGCCTTTTTCTTGGTAAAAGACATCTGGCTTTATTGCTTAAAATTGAGAAATTATCAGATAGAACATCTTGTACACTCGAGGTCAGAAAGATTTTTTTGAAAGAAGTCTCTTAAGTTGCATTAAGTTTTATCAAAAATACAGTAAAACAGTAATATTGTTTTAAAAAAAAAAGTTGTGCTGCTTAATATTTTTTGTGGAAACCATGATACATTTTCTTCAAATTTCTAGGATTAATAGAAAGTTTACAAGAGCAGCATTTATTCAAAACAGATTTTTTCATAATGTAAAAGTTTTACTGTCACTTTTAATAAATTTAATGTGCCCTTGCTGGATAAAAGTATTAATTTCTTTCAAAAAATCCCCCAAAATCATACTGACCTAAAATTTTTGAATGGTAACGTACTACTTAAGAATACCGCTATGTTTACAAACATCTGCAAAGTTACCATCTGCATGAAAAAAGCAATTGAGATCTACATAGTTCAATTAAAAAAATCTTAAACTGTAAAATTCAAAGATTAAGATTACAAATTCAAGATTAAGAGCAAGAAATGAAGTTTAAGGTCTGAAAAAAATGAAATTGAAATATATTAGTATAATAGGTGCCAAGAGCACTTTTGTCATAGTACCGTAAATTCGTTTGCTCAACGTCAGCTTGTTAAAGCATACAGAATAAGATAATTTAGAAATGCAGAATCAGACATTTTAATGCATTTCCTTGCTTGAACTTTTAAACATGTATACCAAGGCCAGGTATTAATTGTTTCAAATAATAAATAACACATTTATCTGGAACAAAACTGTCTGTTTGAGATTTTGTCCTTTGCATGATGAGGATGGATTATGCCATATAGGCACAATGACTTGGAGGGATGTTATTAAAAATCCTTTAAATGCATAAAAAAAAAAATCACAACCAAAATGCTGGCACTGAAGCTGAATCTCTGCAAGTGATAGAAATGTTCGTCATGGTGAGATGATAGCAGTAATTCGACCTTCAAGATCAAAATGAACAGTTTGAGCTCTTTGGAGTTTGTGCAGGTACCATGCACGGTATGGTGCGAGCTTTTCTCCCCAGGCCCATCACTTATTCTGAAGCCATCTTGTCATGACCTTCATTATGTAATGTTGCGCTTTTGGTCTCATGTCCCTCTTCTGGATCTCTCGCCACCATTTTTTTTTCTCAAGCTCTGGCCCAGTCTTCAATCTCTGTTTGTCTATTATGTGACCAGCTGGGCTTAGTACATCACAGCCATGGCAGTAGGGGAGGTGGACGTCCCTGACCAGTGCTTACATAATGCATCCTCAAGAAAACATGCCAACTTCTCGCAGTCTTCCTGCATGACACAACAACAAGATAATCACAATCACACATGAAGCAAAGCTATTCAGCTCATCTGAAGGTTAAGACAGAAAATACTAAACAAGAATTGGTAACATCAAAGTTTTTCGTTCCTTGCCACAGTTTCCTTGGCTTGCACTAGAAGACTAAAGGTGTATTATGTACAATGTGTTGTGTGTAATTATTGACTTTCTATTAATTCCACAGTTAAACTGCTTAGGGTTGGGTGATATGTCACGACACATAATTGCTATAAATTGAACAAAACCTTAAGGCCCGTTCACACCAAGCAAGATAACTATAACGATAACGATAAAGATATAGTTCTAAAAATCGTTCTCAATATTAAAGAATAGCATAGTTCACACCACAACTATAACGATAACGATACAGAGGAACGATATCGTTGTGATCACTTTCAAAACAATTTTTTTCCAGCTGATGAATGATAAAACACTGACAGCCAATCAGAATCCATCCTGCTGTAACGAGCTCAAGAATTTAAAGCGGCAGACGCATGTGCGCTTAGAATAAACAGACGATATCGTTCGCTGGTGTGGACGCTAATATCGTTATCTTTATAGTTATCTTTATAGTTATCGTTCTTGGTGTGAACGGGGCTTTACAGGTTTCATGTGGTTTTCACCACATAACAAATTAATAACTCCAACTTACAACTACTATAATTATATCAACTTTACTCACTTACATTCAGTATACTCATGTAAAATAATACATAGCAAATATCAACTGCTTGATTTTTTTATACTATTGCAAAATGTAAACTATATTATTGCCTTGCGATATATTAAAGGGGTCATATGATGCGATTTCAATTTTTCCTTTCTCTTTGGAGTGTTACAAGCTCTTGGTGCATAAAGAAGATCTGTAAAGTTGCAAAGACTAAAGTCTCAAATCCAAAGATAGCTGGCCAATCAGAGCACACCTTGCTTTTTTAGAACGATGAACTGTAAAAATCGACGCCTTTCAGAAAGGCGGGGCATAGAAGAGAAACAATAATGTACATTATATGGAAAATAATGTGTTTTTTTAACCTTAAACCGCATAAACACATTGCATTACACCAAATACACAACATAATGTTCTTTTTAGCAACGTCATTTAATGTTGGATAATACATCCAACCTTACCTACAAACATACAGTACACTCACATAAAGTGGTATATACTATATAAGAAATTTCAACTGTTTGAGTCTTTATATGGTCGCAATATGTGAACTATATTATCGCCCAGCTCTTATCTGCTCAAATGCGACTAAAAGGCATGAAGAAGCCTGATGGTCAGAAGATATTGTGCTTACCTCACTGATGAAAGCATGGTGAACCAACTCACTAGCCAAATCTTTGGGACTGTCAGCTGAAAAAAATTTTTTTATTTACTTTTACACATCTCATATTCTCTCATTTTTATTCTCAAAAAATAAATGCAACAAGAACACATTTTAATGTTTTAAAATGGACTTACATGGCAAAACATCACAGCTAAGCTGCCGGTGAAGCCTGTCATCCATTTTTAAAAAGAGAGAGAGCTACAGAGAAAGAAAGGATAGATGATGCACAATGTCCACAGCTTTTTAGGTGAAGAAGCTAAGCAAAACAACATGCCAAAAATTTTAACTCACATGACTCCTTGTGCCTTCCTCATTCGCTTCCAAATTACAATGGATCTGGACAACCTGTATGAAAACACAAGGATTTGGTTATTTAATGCCTCTTTTCTGTTACACAAATCAAACACAACAGGTTTTTAAGAGGACAGTGTCATGGATTATCAGAAAGTAAGTGAAATACTGCTTGTACATGGATGAGATACAGTACATTGATCACCATTTCTGGGAAATATTTAAACAAGACGTCAGCTTTTTTCAGATTGACCCTTGCCCATCATCAGTATCAGGTCTGGACACACTTTCCATCAGTCTGCCAACATTTGTTAGACAACTAGTATTTTGCTCAAAAACAACTATGCAGAGTTTAAAATGAATTGTGAATCTGAGCATTGTTTATTTACACAAACTGTGTGAACGAACCGATTGGCAAACATGAATCAGTCTTCCCAAAGCTTTGTTTGAGGCATAGCATCACTACTTGGGATTAGTAACTCTCAATATTGTTTCGAACATAAATCTTATTCTAACCTTTCTGGTTTCAGTCTCCTGTGGTTCTGGGGTTGGGGTCTTCACAGTCTCCATCTGTTCCTGTGACAAAGAAAGAGCACGGGGGATAGGATGCGGCCGCTGGGAAGCAAAGTTCATGAGCGGATATATGCCGTTCCTGTTCGTGCAGAAGAAGATTGGTTTCAAATGCTCAAGCACGGACACAAAAACAGTCTAAATCTAAGATCAGCAGTTGTTCTCTGTGACTCACTTCACATCCTCAAGGAATTTGTCCAGCTCTAGAGGAGAAACGTGAGAGTACCTTGAAAAAAATGAGAAGGACGTCAGAGGAAAGTGGGAGCGATCAGAAAAGAGAATCAGAAACTTCCTATTTAGTTTGAGAAACTCACTTTAGATGGATTCCAGGTCGGTCACAATGATTAATCTCTGCCATGATGCCGTTAGGGTCAAAAGATTTTGTTTTCTCGTCCACACAATTCTCAGGAAGGAGATCTGGAAAAAATGAAAATAAGTTTAAGACCTAAAACTAAAGAGAAATGGAAATGCGAAGGAGCAATAATTTCCTTTTGCTTAAATGGGCCATACATAACATTTCTGTCATGTCTAAGATCAAAATTAAAGCATTTTTACTCTGAGGAGTCAGGACGGGATGAACAGTGTTTTCCATGTCCCACTTACACTGGTTATTGATAAAGCAGTGCGCAGCAAGCAGTTTTAAGGAGTGGACCTCAAATAACACTCTGTGGAACAGCAGGTCATGAGCTGTAGGTCTCGTCTTGGCTTCTGTGCGCACACACGACTGGATAAATTCCTGTCAGTGTAAATGATGAAGGCGTTAGATTAAAGCAAAAATATTTAACAGAGCTGTATTAGTTATAAATATACGCTTAATGTCTTTTACCCTCATGAGAGGGTCCTCAAGTGATTGTCCAGCATGATCAATGGCCTCTTTCGAAACTGCGTTGTCTCCATTGGCCTGGATTTCTAGTACTGCCATCTAAAGGTGAGTGGGGAAAACAAAATTAAGTCATACTTAAAATGTTGTTCTTTTGGAATGATTATAATTTGCAGTTTTTGATAGTTTAGTTAGACTGATAAAATAATTTTCAGACCTCCAAGGCACAGATGCCAAATGAAAATATATCAATGGCGTAGTCATCTCCAGCAGCTTCAGAAAAAGAAAATGAAGAAATGTCATGAAAATGAACATATTTCTATTCTGCATTTTGTTTTTTTTAATATATTACAAATGATAAGCAAAACAACTTTACTTTGCTCAAAAAAAAATCCTATACCTTTCTTTTTATGCCTAGGTTTAAATCAAAAACATTCCAGATATTTTCTAGATTTCTGATTTTTTCCAGATTGAGAAAGATGATAATATGGTAAAGGCATCAGATACTCACTGCCATACTCTGGAGCAAAGAAATGCTGGTTCCGCACTTCATCTCGATGTTGATGCACATTCCCATGAATCGCCTCAGCAAACACTAAGGGAAACACACAACATTCAAACTCTATTTATAACATTATTTGAATGGAAAAATTATAGCCAGTAAACATACAAGATCTCCAGCACATGGGCTAGAGTCCAAGATAAATACTCTAAAGGGGGAAGTGGGCCTTATTTTCTTTATTTATGTCTTAGATTGTAAAAGCTGACAAGAAATGTTACAGTACATTACATTACTGCCAGGATTTTGGGCCAATATATGCAAAGCATTGTTTAAGGAAGGAAGGAAAAGAAAGTCTAAGTACGGTCCGTGTTTTCTTTATGACGAGATAACCAAATTCCTGTGCACATGGCTTAGAGAGCTCAGAATGGACTTACCATTAACAAACAGCCTGTGCCAAACTGCAAAAGAAAGAAGAGACATTTAACTTTTCTAAAAACAGATATTGTATGTAAAAAATGATCAAACATCAAAATGTTTTGAGTTAAACCTAAAATACAAGGATTAAAAGACTGTCAAACCTGAGCCGATCTTTATGAGGCCATTGTGCTGGATAAAGATTGTGTCACAGGTCAGGTTACCATGGATAATGGGTGGATCACATGAATGCAAGTAACTAAAGACAGAAATGAGAAAAAATCAGTACTTGTACTCAAAACATCCTTCAAACAAACTGAAAGTTAAAAAGAAATTCCACACAAATAAACATTTAATGTATTAAAATAAAATAATTTATACAAGGAAAAAAAGTTTAAACTAGTAAAATAATTTTCCCCCATACAATAAGAGAAAAAAAGTACTAGCTGTAAAGATGAAATGTGTAACTTCTACTGTCATAAAACATAATTGCAAACATGTCTCAAACATTTTTTTCCACAAACACTCGCCTTGTCTGTCATTGGCCAAACAAACAGACAGCCCCGCCCCAAAACTCACACCATTGGTTGAGTCAGTGTTGCTATGCTGGGATGGTCAAGATGCTCAAACAAACAAAGCAATGTTTTGACAGCTGCACTGAGCCACAGTGTTTACTGACTTATAGTTGCCTCTGTATATTAAGCTGGGAAAATATTTTTATTTTAAGCACACATTTCAGCTTTAACGGCAAATTTTCAGATGAGTTCAGATGATACGAAATCCTCAATGTCCTACCTGAGTGCAGAGAGTATCTGCGTGCACCAACGCTTCCATGCCTGAGACATACAGGTAGTACCAGTGTGTTATGATTTTGTCATATTTCTGCCAGAAGGTGGCATTGTTCTCTAACTTTTCCACATACGGGTTTTTCAATTTCAATGATTGATAAACATTTCACCTTCACATTCATAGTTTTGTGGTTTTTCTTGGTCTTCTTCAAAAACTGCTTGAGACTTCCAGATGACATATATTCAGTGATAAAAATCACCTGTGTGGCACGAAATGAAAGAAAACGTGAATGTCTGAATTTAGGGTAAAGTTCACAGAGGCGTTCATTTCTACCAGGTGTGTGTTGCTTCTCACCCTCGCTCTGCTCTCGCTCATGTCCAACCAGTACTTGTGAAACTTCACAATGTTCGGATGCTCCACCTGCATCAGGTTCTCAAACATCTCCCTTATCCGCTCCTGTATTAACACAAAGTACATCCACTCTTGGTTTCACATTTCAAGCGTCGTTTCTGTCACCGTACCACCATTCCAGCATGATGACATGATGCCAATACTGTAACATTTCACAGATGTTTGTGGTGCAGCATACTAAGTATCCCACCCATAACATCGATGTTGGAAAACAAGCATGGTCCTACCTCAAAGGACTTGAAAACCTTCTTGTCTGAAAACTGCACTTCGTTCCACACCACCTCCACCCCCTCTTCAGTGTCCATGGCCAAGTATGCACTCTCAATGCCTGGGACATTTCCCTGACTGACCTAAACCAGACAAATAAGGACATAGAGAAAGAGGAAAGGGTGGAAAGTGAGTTTAGCACTCCAGACTCTGCCAAGTTCATACAAAGTACCATTTAGTCAGTGATATCTGCAATATTTACTTCTCATTGCACAACTTTTTAACTGTGTTTGCAAATGTGATATTTTAGTATCAACTTCTTAGTATTGTTAGTACAGGAAATGAGTATTTCTGTGAAGAAGAAGAATGTCACACACCCCTTCTCCGCCCCCTTGCTCCACAACTCTCCCATGATGCACGTTGTGGTTTGGGCTGTTCAGAGCAAGCATGACAACACAGACTTTGAATGGCCTGTAAATTCGTGTTTTTTTTTTTGTCTTTGTAATGCTGTAAATAAAGCTCAAAATACAGAAAAGGGCACACTGCTGTTTGCTCTCCAAACACTTCAAGTCCCCACCTTTTTTGGACAGAAACAGTCATTTTATTATCACAACTGTTTAAAAGAAAACAAACCCAAGCCCAATGTTTTCAGATTTGTATTTTCTATATTTATAGGCTGAATTTGCTCCCCTCCCGCTGATCGGTGAACTGAAGCTATGTGTTTTGGAGACAGACACAACATGATCTAGTCATGCTGAGATGTAGCTAAAAGGCCTTGGATTTAACTTTATCTCTGATTCAGAAACATATGACTATAAACTGATAATACTGTTTGGTATGCTTCAAACAAAGAGTTTTTTTAATTGTTCAGGGCATTCAGGCACAATAAAATAAGAGCAGAACAAGGTGTCAAAGTTTACTAGGCTAAACAGTATCAAGTCTAGTAGCAGTTCAAGCACAAATAATGTGCATGATTGATTATAATATCCCAAAGTCTAATTCTATTAAGGTTTATCTTATAAATGAACAGTTTATTTTGGTATTTTAAGCACACTGACTGTCAATTGCCCAGGCTCTGAGGTTGAATAGTGGCCATTAAAAGGACTGACTGATATAAATCAACCTCAGGACAACAGTAAAACAAGTTTTATGACACTTTTACTAATAATGGCTGAGCACAGCAAAGCTTGGTTATGCAAGTCAGAGAACACAAGGACACTAAAAGCATGTCCAATTACATTTGGAGTTAATTAATTCCCTAGATGCCACACAAACAGACAAGGAATGTCTTTGAAAACAAATAAAAAAACTTTCCATTTCCTCTGAAAGCCAGAGAGTGTGTTTCTACCCAGCTGGTGTCTCCAAATTATGTGCAATCACAGGCATCTGAGCCTGGCTAATATTGTACCTCAAAGCACTCTAGTGACGCACAGATAGGATGTTAAGATTTATTCAATTAGTGTCTAGAGCATTTAAAAATCAATGTTCAAACTATATGCACAGGGGTTGTTGACATAAACATGTAACTAAAACTGTAATACTCTTTTAAGACTTTATCATTTAGATTTTTTTTTCTTTCTTTAAATTCAATTTTATTCAGAACCGGTTACAAAATAATAGATGTTCAGTTCTGCACCACAATATTAGTGAATCTACAGCACGAAACATACAGTGATAAAAGTGTATTCTGATTACCAAACGAATGACTCTTATGAGCTGGTTCTTTTAAGTGAATCAAAAAACATACAATGAGACCCGTGTAATCTCATTCTTGAAAGAAAGACTCTTATGAGCCAGTTCGTTTCACAGTGAGTCAAAAACATACAGCGCAGCCAGTGTTGTCCACTTAAAGAGTCCTAAAACATCTTGTGGATAAAAAAGCCCACTGATATGTAACACGTCAAATGAAGTAAGCTGCTGTCAAAATAATGTAGCTGTGGTGTTTAGTTCTTGGTTTCTGGTCTCTCTTGTGTGGGTGTTTATAAAGAATGTTTTGAGAATAAGTTGTTAGAAACTCTAAATACCAAATAACAGGGAACACTGTGCCCATAAAACCAGCTGATATCATCTCACGCACAGTGCTTCGAAATCCTCTCTGACATAAACCCACACCATAGCTTTCCCAATGAAAACAAACATTACGATCTTCATTTCCTGCCCTTTCATCCCCTATCCTGCGTCTGTCACAGATACACTTCCAGCGGTATTGCCTCTTCCTGCATAATGTATGAAATCTAATAAGTTCTAATAAGAACTGTGGAACTACTTTCATCTCTGGAAACCTAACCGTGCATGCTCAATTTTCCCTTATACATCCTATCAAACATCTCCGAGGATGAACAGAGAGAAAATGTGAATGGATTGGCATGCATACCTGGATGAATCTGCACTTTATATGCAGGTACAGCTTTCCAGCTATACAATTATCATCATGAATGGTGCTTGATTTCAGCATGCTAACCCCAGATGCCTACTGGGCCCCTCAGACACAACTAAAAGTCTTGTCCGAGTACAAATGCTAAGCCTCTCTCTATGGGGTGGCTATCTTTTGTGATGGAGAATGGTGACCTGAAGCAACAGTTTTAACTGACATACAGGAGACTAGGGTTGTGCCGATAGACGATAGTATCGTGTATCCACGATAGTCAGAGATATCGACGATAGCAGATGTCTTTGTCGATAGTCAAGACGATATTAGGCTCATTCTCCTATGAATGTATTAATAATAATAATTATTATTACTTTATATTTAACGTGTTCGTTTATGTCCAATATTTAGTGTTAAACTGTTGGTCTTTAAAATAAATCTACTTTTGATTTTCACCGTTGACTGATTTTGCAGACCTTTAAGACTGATAACGTCGGTGCGCAGATGCGGCAATCTTGTCACAGGACGCGCGGTCCTAATAGCCATGTATGACTGTTGTATCCGATTCCGAATATATATGAACTAGCTGTTTTAAATATTTTTGTATTTAACATGGTGCTTCCATAGGCTCCCTCTCTCTCGCGCGCGCTGTTTAAAACACCAAATAGTTATGAAATAGCCTATGACAAGTAGCCTAGAGAGTCTCTCTCTTGCCCCCACCCACCCATGCACGATAATATCGTCTATCGGCGATCTCACGGACTGGCGATATGACGATTTGAAAAATGACCATATCGCCCAACACTACAGGAGATACTTGTGTGTGCACTTTGCTGTAATGTTGGAACAAAATAGGTTGTGTAACACACTTAGCTGGATAGAGACCCAATTCCAGATGTGAAAACAAGCAACCCTTGTTAGCTAAACTGCCAGTGTCACTCAAGACCACCAGTACAGCCTGAAGGCACCCTACTTAGGGGTCTGGAAGTGGAGATGAACACATGACATGACATGAAAGAGATACAAACGTGCTGCTCTGCATTCTTGTGGTAAAGTTCTTGAAAAGAATTAAGGAGTTGCCTAAGATGAGCAGAAATGCTGGCATTTCCATCTGTTTTTCGCAGCCCAGATATAGAAATGGAAAACAAGGCACTTCAATCTGCAGAGTGTTTCATGCTATCAATTTATGAGGTGTCAGAAATTTTTAGAAATGGCCTAATTATTTAAAGTCATTCCACAGACATAAATAGATAAATACGTTTCTAAATATAATTAACAAAATATTTCTATTATATTTACAAAAGAGTGCTATTCTTTTGAACTTTCTATTTATCAAACAATACTGAAAAAAATGTATCATGGTTTACACAAAAAATATTTAAGCAACAATTGTTTTCAACATTGATGATAATAAGAAATGTTTCTTGAGCATGAAATCAACATAAAAATGCTAAAAATGCAGCTTTTCCATTATAGGAATAAACTACTTTTATAAAATACAATTTGTAATGTAAGTTACATATATCGGCGTTTTGAGCTATGTTGATATCTTTTATTGTTATATCTTTTAATAACAATTGTTAATTTAACAATTTGGCAATTTAAGTTCGAGTCATGTTGAAAACTGATATTTTTGTAATATACCAAATTAGAAGATTTCCTATATAAATATATGCTAGCTAAGAGAGATTTACTTTTATATTCAAGCAAAACAGATATTATCACTGAAATACATTCTAGAGCAGTGGTTTTCAAACCCTGGGTCGTGACCCTCGGGTGGGCCGCGAGACTTAAAAAATTGATTAGTTAAGGAAAATATATATATGCATGTAACTAACTTCAAGACTCAGGGAAGAAAAAAAGCGGAAACCAGCAAACGTAACTTAAAATAAAAAAAAATAAACAACAAAATAAAAGTTAAAATATGCATTAGAATCTCACGGCAGACTCCAATGCATATTTGTGTCTGTGCTCTGCAGAGTATCAAAGGTTTCTATTTACAACACATTTTTGCACCGTTAAACATTGTAGCCAATCACAGACATATCTTTTGATTTCTGGAACGCAATGGCCAACCAGAGGCGCTTCAGTCAGAATCTACTCACCGATCAAAACTCAGAAGTTTTGTTCGGTCCCGAGTACTGCAAGCTTGTGAACCTTCTCATTATAATGAACAAAGTGTAGACGCGATATAAACAAGAGATTAATTGTGTGGTGTAGAGAGATTCATTGATTAGAATGGAATTTTCAAAGATTGCGATAAACTCAAATGAGTGACAGTTTTTCAGTGATTATAAAGGGAGCACTCTGAGCAATAATCCATTCAGAATTTGAATTTATTTATTTTTTAATCTGTTTTTCATGCTGCTAAGAGGACCAACTTGGTGTACACGCTGCACTATATGTATGAAAGTATGTGTCGCATCAATTAAAAAAATAAAAATAGGGCTGCCCTTAAAAAGGTTTGAAAACCACTGCTCAAGAGTTAATGAATGAATCAGAATCTAAATGAATCGGGAAATCTGTATCAATACCCAGCCCACTTTTACACTTGTCCAACCAATTAACACAATTATTCACTGTTTATCAATGTACAGTGTGAAATCTTTTTGAAAGTCTTACCAGGATTAATAGCTAACCCAGTGTTAAATATGAACAGGTAACACAGAGTTGCATTAATCCTGGTTTAAAAAATGACTATGGTTAAACACTTCCCATCTAGCTAGTGGAAATTAGAAATTGTCTGGATGGACTAAATCACAAACACAGGACAAGCATAAAAACCACTGATCTTCAGGAAATGTACCTAAACACGTTATCAGTTTGTCCTTCCTAATATTGACACACTTGGCAGATACTCAAAAGGAGTACTCAACATAATAATCCGAGTAAAGTGTCACACTCATCAAGCTTTCAATGCATCCTCTACAAGCTTAAGCTGTATTGTGTAACTTTTCCCAAAGAAAGAGTGCTGACAGAGGAGTCATATTTTCAGCTCTTGCCTCAGGGCATCCCTTCTCCCAAAGCGCTCAACCTTTTATCTTGCATTCACGTATGAAATAAAGAGTTGGCAAAATCAGCATTAAGAGATGAATAGCTCTGCTTTTGGGTAAACCGAGCAAAGTAGGCGTGTTTGTGGAAGTAGGAGGATGAAATGTAAGCCAGGAATTTAAGGAGTCTAAGGCAGGTCTACAGTTGCGCTCTTTTGTAAATATGTGCTCGGTTGCTGTTTGTGATCTGCAGAACATAGTATTGTTCTGTACACCAGAAGCCCAAATTCAGGCCAGTGGTGCCTAATGCACCACTTTATTATATAAACCGGAACATTTTAAAAGCTACATCAGGTCAAGTGCGCCACTGGGTTTGAATATGACTGGCACTTTTGAAGTGAGGAACTGCCACAGCAGGTTTGTAGGATCGAAGTCTGCTGCATTTAAAGATTTGAGAGCTCTGATTTGAATGAGGGGTTAATGCGAAGAACGATCAATGCTGATGGACTTGGAAGGATCATAATCAAAGAACAGTGCAATATGTAGCAGGCGACATCATATGACTTAGCAAAAAGAGAAGTAGAGAGAAGGACGATGAGAGGAATATAAACAAAGAGCATTATAGAATAAAAGCATGATGTGATGTCCACGCAAAACAGTGTTAGTCACCACACTCACGACTCATCATGAATGCCCTGCATTGTGATGATGGAGATGTGGGAATCCATGGTGTGAACGGACTGAATGCTTTGTCTTTTCTTCTAGCAGTTATTTTTCTTCCTCTAATAGCATCTGTCGCAAAGTTCTGAGAACCGGTATTTTTCAGCACTGTGCCAAGAGAGAAACACCTGCAGCAACCAAACCAAAACTATCTAGCTTTGATAAGATAAACAAGTAGTTTATACCTAACTTTTTGGATGGTTGAAGGATCAACCTGAATACAACAATCACCATTATTTGACACAATCTTGTCTTAAAACAAAGTGAACTCATACATAATTGCAGTCCTAGTGATAAGTGAATGGAGAGCCGAGCAAAGTTCTCCTAGTTTACAAGAGTGACACATGAATATGAGTAGCTGCAAGCCTGCAATAAAGGAGTGTCTTTACTTGTGACATTCTGAAAAAAAAGGAAAAATGCTTAAAGCATGCACACACGCACACACACACA